GTTATGTGTACATTACACAACTTAACTTTGAAGGCAAGATAATCCATTAAAAAAGCAAGAAATTATTGAAAAATATGTGATGAATCTTTTTAAATAGTGATAGGAACCATGAATTCTAACCTTGACTAATGAGAGATCGATTCATAGGAGACAACCTACCTCATATGTGGTAAAAACGTGTTCATCACTTTTTGTGGATCCGAAAATAGTATTGTACGTTTTTCATTGTAACAAAGAAATTATCTAGGGCTTGGGATGCACTATGGCAAAGACAAGAAAAGAAACAGTGGGCTGATGTTGTGTAGTATAAGGGTGCAGTTCCAAAGCAAGCGTTTAACATGTGGATAACCACGTACTTTATGTGAGTCAAGCCAGAAAACACAGAGGTTAGTATCTTGGAGAGTCACAAGTTGTTATGATTGCTACCTTTGCTAATCGATCTCTTCCTGAAACTAGAGATCACCTTATATTCTCTTGTACCTATATTACTGTCATTTGGGCCCATGTCTTCTCAAGACTAAGTTCTCATCATCAGTTGTTCTGCTCTTGGAATGAGCTTTTATCCTGGATGCGACAATCATCATCTCATGCACCATCACTACTAAGGAAGATCACAGTTCATTCGGTAATCCACCACACTTAGAAGCAGAGAAATAATGTATTACATGACAACCAATCCATCCCTCCTTTAACCATATTCAAGATTATTGATCGGGAAGTGCGCAACATCATCAACTCAAGAAGACATCTAAAACGTTGGAAGGATCTGATGCTCTTTTGGATTATGTAGCAACATTCAAACTTTACTCAGTATTATTGTAATCTTGTTTTTAAAAATTTTTTTGCCAAGAATACTCTCTTTTAGATAATGTTCAATTGCGCATATAATTCCTTAACAATTCATTTTCTAAATGATATTTACAATTTCGCAACAACAAAAAAAAAATTATCTATTTTATCCGACTAGTTCTGGTGTTAAGTTCCAAACAATCTCATATGAATGATGAGTCATATGTATAAGAAATAACATTATCGAACAATGTATTCCCGTCACCTTTTTGTCAAAACAAAACAAAACAAACATTATTGAACAATCATCGATAAAAATAAAATCTATTTCGACTTCTTGCACACATCTTTATAAAACCAATTCTATATATTGATGTACACACTCATTCGATTTGCA